ACTTTTCAGTTCTTACTCGTCATTAACATTAGGCCTGGCTATTATACTTTTCTTTACCACAATCCATGACAGAATAATGGACTTTATGAAAATTGCCAGTCCTAAAGTTTAAACCCCCCAGCATGTACTGAAAATGCAGGATATCATTTTCTGGACTTGGTTGACTATCTGTATGTCATTAATAAAATAAAGCCATCCTGAAATAGAACAAAACAGATTCATCGTGACCAAAGTGATTCAACTTGATTATTTTATCAAAGTTGAGGCAGTAGCAACACAATCCAGGTAAGATTCTGTAGAATTAACTCTGGCTAATTCCAGATTGAAGCAGAAACCATAATCACTCAGTTGTGATGGTGTAGTGCAGATGGTGTAGTACACTCAGCGGAGTGTACTGTGCAAAGCACTAACAAATATGGATGTGTGTCTTGGTAGGAGAGGACTGGGATGTAGAACTTTTGGGGGAGAGTCTTCATGATGGTCCTACAAGCTACATCCCTCTCTCCAGCGACCATATCAGAATTTCTATTTATTTATTTTTATGATGTACATCCTGCCATTCTCCCCATTGGACCCATTGTCTGACACTTTTAATCTTCCTGGGAAGAGGTCCTCTGTCTGAATACAGCCAGGTGTCCTTTCTATTCCACACCTATGTCCACTGGCATCACTTACTTTCATCTTTACTGGGCTAATCCACACCACTACTCTCAGGAAAGGAGCAGTGAGCAGAGCAAGCATCTACAACCTTGTGCCAGAAAGAAGAGAGGGAAGCTGCATTAGCATATACAGTACTTGCCATAAGAGGGGCCAGTTGCCTGAAGGTTGGCCCCTCCATTATACCCTCCCTTGTGAACGCAACTGGTGCCTCAAATTTTGCTTCTTTCCAGAGAACTGAAAGTGAATTTTCCTTGTCTTATGAATGGGTAGAGGCGGCCCAGGCTCGGTTTGCAAGTTACATGCATGCACTGCTGCTCAGCTCAAGGCACAAAGGCACAGAGTCAGAGAAAAAAAGGACTGTGCTTCTCAACAAGTGCTTATTTTTGTTAGATTTGCAATTGTATTCATCTGTTAGATTTATATCCAGGCTTTCATCCAGAGGGGTTGTGCCATTCAAAGGTTGTGAATGCACCTAGCATTTTGAGTAGATGGGTGTTTTCAATTAGATTTTTTTCCTTCAAAATGATATGTTTATCATTCTCAGCAGAAATAATGGACAGAAACAGTGTCCATTACTCCTCCATTTTTCCCCCAAGTAACCACCTCTGAGGTAGGTTGGGCTGAGAGGAGGAGTGGCCCAAAGTCAGTGCTGAGCTTCTGTGGCTGAAGATAGAACCTGAAGCTGGTCTCAGTTGACCACCTTAGTCAGTCCATCTTATACATTGGCCTACAGTCTAATCCTGCCAGGATAAAATATTTCAAAGTGGCAGAACAGACATTGGCAACATGGAATAAGAGAGGACACAAGGCAGGTCTGCTATTTCCTTATAGTTTGATTTCCTTCCGTTTTCATGAATAATATTGTTTCTGTCCATTATTTCTGCTGAGAATGATAAAAATATAATTTTGAAGGAAAAAAAATCTAATGGAAAAGACCCATCAACTCAGAATGCTAGGTGCATTCACAACCTCTGAATGGCACAACCCCTTCCTTCTGTTCTTCATTATTTTTTGGCTCCCCAGAGCCTCATTAGGTTGCTGGAAAACCCTTGAAAAGTTGAAGGCCTTTCCTCCCTCTTTTGCCATTATCTTGCCATTAACAAGTAGAATTTCCAACTCTAATTTCTAAGGCTAAAGTACGACAGCATTTAAAACAAGAACAGGAATGCAGCCTACATTACATAACTGTTGCAGTTGAATTCATTCATGCTAACAAGGTCAGCAGTTAAGGATGATTGTAAAAGCCTAAGCCTACAGAACTATTATTGTGCATTTTAAATTCCAATTATTTTGTGACTCTCAAATTGCTCCTCCTGATACCATACTGAATGCCAAAAATACAAATGGAGTGTGGCAAAACAAACTTAGAAAAGGCTAAGTAAAAACTGTTGACAAATAAGTATGTTCAACACACAGATTGCTTTGAGGCACTTCTGTTCTAGAGTTTTCAATCAGTTATATGCATTTCACAGGTAGAAGTCAGACACAGTCGAGATGGGACACAGGGCAGGACACTGCAAGTTTAATTAAGCCTTTTGGAAGTGATAAATATAACAACAGCTTTCCAGTAAACACATGAATGTTCTTGGAAAAACAGAACTTTTTGTTTCTATCATGGCAAGACCCAGGTTCATTGACACACTGATTGGTGGTACTTTACATGAAATATTGAGAATAATTGATTTAGAATGTTTTATGGTGCTCTCTAGGAACATAAATTTTCTTTATGCCCATGTTTTGACAAGATGTTTGCATCAGTAATATAGAGAATAGATCCACCAGTATAACTTGTTCTGCCCTTGATTAGCACATGAACTACATTATGAAATATATCACATATTCACACTTTGCAACCTGTAATTGCAAATGTTTTTTTTTAAGTTATATATGATATCCTCATTATTTACAACCACACAAATGTTTACATGACTTTAAACACAGGCCCCAAAGACAAATTTACAATAGTATGTAAATTTTCAGGAATAGCATACCAACATATTAGATGTCAATTTTTTCATGAATATTAATGGAGTCATTGCTTGACATGATCAGATATGAACCATCGTGATCTTTCCTGTTGCAAACTGAAGTATAGAGCTAATTCCTTCCAATCATCCTGTATCTCTTGTGAGATGAGAGACATCTTGTAAGTGTAAATATTTCACAAGATTTAAAGGCTTCTCTTTCAAACTTCTTCAATCATATAATACAGTAGTTCATTAATGCTATTAAAAAATCCAATATAAACCTTTTAGGTGGACTGGGTTCAGTCTGAAGTTCCAAATAGCCTTCTTTTGTAAGTACATTGTTAAATCTGATCCTCCTGTATCCCAGTCACATAGAATTTCATGGAGTGTTTTATAAAATGTGTAAACATATTACACCTTAAGACAGTTGGAGATTGTATTCAAGGACAGATCAAATTACACTGAGTGAACTCTTTATTATATCACTGATGAAGACACGGTGCTGAAAAGTTTGATTTATATAGATGGAGCACTCTAAAATATTCTAAAACGCTGCATTTTGTATGTTGAACGTGCTTATTTGTTAGCAGCTTGTGCTTTTGAATGTAGGAATGAAATATTCATTGTGGGTTTTCTCAGATGACACTCCACCTCCAGATTTTATTGGTATTATACAAGTGCTAGATCCAATTCAGTATATATTAGATTGTACTTACAAGATGCTTTTTTAATAATCTTTTTTCAAAGGTTTAGATGTTGATACTTTTTTTTATGGAAAGAGGGGAATACGTGCTTGTATGTCACCAACTATTCAGAATAAATGGCCTAAATAAAAGGAACTTGCTTCTATTTGGCTGCCAAAGCTAAGGAGCTATAACTGGATAAGCAATCCTATTAAGGAACCACATATAATCTATATTCTTAAGCGAAAGAATGTAATTTTTTTCAATCAAGTGATTTCCAGATGTGTTGGGCTATAATTCTAATTCATTCTAGCCACTCCTTAATTCTAGCCACATACATACATATACATAATTTATATAATTTACAATTTATATATAATAAATATATAATTTAAAATTAGATTTTTAAAATGAGCAACGTTTTCACTATTTTTACAATAAAGGCTTGTTTATTAACCCACAGAACAACTGTTGGCTACTGCCTTAATGGACAGCCTGTCGTGCTTTCAATTATATTTCATACCTCTTGCCAATATCCTGTAATTCTAGGGCACTCCCACCAAGCATGGCAATGAATCCTTTTTTCTCAGTGTTAATTATGCTGGAAGAGTCTGGCTGCCAATTAAGACCTCTTGAGACTCTGAGAAAGGAACCTTATAACTTCCTCTACCACAATTTAAAAGGTCAAAAGCAATACGAGACAATAAATCAGCTCAATTAAAAGAACCTCATTTATTCTACAGGTGAAAGGAAATGTATTGTCGAAGGCTTTCATGGCCGGAATATGATGGCTGGTGTGGGTCTTCTGGGCTGTGTGGCCATGTTCTGGAAGCTTTGTTTCCTAATGTTTCGCCAGCATCTGTGACCGGCATCTTCAGAGGGCAGGAGCGCAGACAGGAGCAGTTCTCTCTGTGCCCAGGATGATGTGACCCTGTTGTGGGAATTTATAGAGATCAGCGAGGGTGCCTGAAGGTTGTTTGTGTTTGGGGGGGGGTTGGGTTAACGATTGGCTGCTTGTTTTGGTGTCAGAATATGTGTGTATCTTCCTGGGGGTAAGGAAGGGTTTTTTCCCCTCCAGCAGCCACTCGTTAACAACTCAA